TCCATCTGTGTTCCATTGGGGAGATTTACCTTCACTTCCTGTCACACAGCCAATACTGGAAGTGAGCGGAAATCCCTTGGAGCCCCCCATAACTAGTGTCCGCATTGAAAGATTTCCCCTCTATTACTTTTTAGGGGACAGCCCAAAATTTGGGATTTTCTTTTAGTTTCACTTTTAATGATAATGGTAAACAGGAGTGAGTGGATGAATCTCCGTAACGGGCACAGACAGCAACAGGAACTTAATAGGAGTTCTAATCCATCTCTACTTTGTCCAAAACTATATATATATATATATCTATGTGTGTTGCCTTTAGTTATAGTTTAATGCACGTGGGGCAGACTGCTAGTGTGCATGAAAATTAAATCTGATGGGACCTCTGATGATGAGTTCAAAATCTACACACTTGTAAAGTGAGAAAATCCCATTTTCCTTGTTTTTCACTTCTGCACACTTTCTTTTCTGACAGTTTATTTTACTTTTAAGATGAATTGCTAAGTGCCTGATATACTAAATTGTTCAAGTTGCACTCTAGGCATGAATAAGACACAAATTAATCCAACTTTGTAATCATTCATTTTTTTTTTTGCAAGCTATGTAAGTACTGGACTATCCCCTTAACATAGTCTCTCGATAACCCTTTAAATGGGCTTTAATGGCCAGTAGGTAATGCAGCTTTTGTGTCATGTGGCTATGATTGACTCTCGTAGTGGTCACATGATCAGTAGCCCATGTCACTAGCTCCTAATCAGAAGCTGTGACCAGTGAGATCTGTCAGTGACAGCCTGGTCAATTTGCTGGGAGCTTGCTCTGCAGACAACCTCAGATCGCCGTGGATGCATATGTATGGTGGCTGGACATTTAAATCTCACTTTTTTTGCCACCACATATATGCATTATGCAGTTGGCAAGAGATTAACATGTCTAAAAGCAGGGGACCCTTGGGGTTAAATGGGAGCGTTTAAGAAGTTCTCAAGGAATACTTCACCTTCTAAGGGAGGCTTAGATAATAAAAGTTGTGGTGTTCCAAGAATAAAGTTTAGATTTTTGTTTTTGTCAAATTGTTATTTAATTCCTGTAAAGCGAAGGTGCTTGGTTCCCTATCCTCGTGTCCTTTGTTAATACAAAGTAGGCCTGTTCTGTATTCGGTGTCCAAGGACTCCTCGGAATTAATTACAGAGGATGGAGTGCTGAAATTATAAACAGGAAGCATTTCCCCGCTTTAGAAAGAGCACAAAGTGAGGAATGGCATGTGGGAAAAGATGACATGAACGTATCCCCAACTTGTTTTGACACAGTGCCACTCTTTATTATTTTATTCTGGCCTAGGAACTCTTCCAGTGAAAAGTACTTATTGGCTCATCCAGGTTATTTCAGATAATACTATTCCTTGTTTACCAGGACCACAGCTATCTTTGTATGCAGAGAGGAGGAAGGGGGTGGGGGGACGTTTCCTGGTCTCTGCTGGTGGCCTCGACCTCAGATGTTCCTATAAATGATTGTGCGTCTTGATGAAGGAGAGCGATGTGGGCTGTGATTCATGTTTCACAAACCACAAATGTGTGCCCAGGCTCTCCCTGCTTTGTGTTAAAGGCTGGAATGTCGACATATTCTTGATGGCTTCTATCTTGAAGCTCATTAGAGCTAATTTTCAGATTGCAGAAATGCCTCTGTACTTAAAACAGGGGTCAAGTGTGAGGGGGGATTACTGATGATAGTTGGGCCACTTTGCTGTTATTTGAGGAGTAGCCTTCAGCCTCCGGTTAGATGGCCCTTAATGACTACTTCAAAGAATGTCAATAGTAGTTTACAAACTCCAGTCTAGATCTCCTACTTCCTTTATCATGATATTTGCTAAAATATATGACAGAGAATCCTTTTTTTTTTTTTTTTTTTTTTCTTTTAAAGGGATTATAAGGCATATTTGGACGGGCAGAACTTACCTCTCAATATGGAGCCCTTGTTAGATTTTTTGCTTTTTGTAATGCCAGCCACAGGCACTTGTAATGGTGAACATACACAGCCTCCTATTTGCAATACGATCATCTTGTTAAACTGAGATATTTCTCTGTCACACGAAAAAAACTATATCAAGTTTTCAAAACTAACGTACTGTGCAAGTCAAATGGAATGCTGTTTGAAAAAGGATGAATGCTTCTGTCAGGTGCTCAAATACATTATAGGAAACGACATATGCCCTTAAATATTTTACCCCTGTGCAACATTGTTTTTGTGTAATGGGTGAATTTACTGTAGTCTGTTAACCGTCCAGCCAGACAAGTAGGAATTTCCCCCCTAGTGTATTGCTCTCAAGGCCATAAACCGTAACTAAAAAAGTAAATCATAGTATATACAACATATAATTGTAGTCTTCATTTACTGCTTTTGCTCTAATAACCAGATTATAAACAGTGAATACTTTGATTAGGTCAACCATTGTAATAACTGTGACTTTCAGACTTCAAAGCAACCTAGCCATTACAGAAGACACCTGGCTATTGTTGCTGTTGACCCTCTGAACATCTTTGGCCAAAACATCAGTGTCTTCCAAGTCTAATTTGTCAAATAAGTGCATGAAATAGTTCCAGTTTAAGTTTGTGTCACTGTAATAAAAAAATGCTCTTTGTTTCCCTTTCAGACTGGCACAGATAGCTCTTCGAACTCATCACAGAAGAGGGAAGCACCAGTGAGGACAATCTCGTCTCCATTGACGAGCGGACGCTGTCGATACAGCACCCTGAGCCACATTGATCCTTATTCCTTGGAACACTATAATCCAGAACAAGTAAGTAGCCTTATTCCGTAATGTCCTTTTCTTGTATTTTGTTTTTTTTTTTTGCTGAGAGTGGATTGCACAGTATACATTTTTATACACAAATTTTCAATCTCTAGTTATATTAGTAATAATACCATTGCACCAAATGTTTTTGGAGACTGCTCTATTATTGTCTGCAAAAGGGCATGTTCCCTACCTCCTAGATTGAACTAGGCCCTTCAATTTGTACAATTACTTAATAACATATATTTGGTAAAATACTAGGTGGACAGCACTTGTTTAAATGTGGATTGTCAAGTGGAGCCTTGTTATACAATATAAGACAAAGAAAGTCCGCATAGTTTAGTGGACCGATTACCTGCTAATGAATGACAGCTGTACTAAACTTTTAAAAATGCATTTGGTGATCGGGTCCAGCGTGTAGTGAATGAGCGCTGGTAATAGCGGGAAACGAGTTTACCCTCTTTTCCCCTGCTGTGTTTTTGTACCGTGTGTCGTTTTGGTCTTTTATCTTCAATAAAGTGGATCGTTGGTGCGCAGCCATCCGGACTTTCCTTGCCGCAGCATACGAGCTGAACTAGCACTCGGTTAGAGGATTTATATGGGATGGGTTTGGAATGAGCTTGCCTGGAGCAGCAGAGTACTGGTTACAGTTTATCATAGCACCTCATTTGTCAATGTCTGAAATGAGAATTGTGTTGCCCCTCTGTTTTGTTGTTAGGTTGGGTCTGAATTGGTCGCTGAGTGGGAACATTGACAACTATTTTAAAAACTGTGACAAATGACGATGTTTGTTGTGTACACATTTCTAGGCCATCCTTTATTTGGTTTTCTCATAGCAAGGCCAGGACGATGGACACATTTTTTTCCTGTGAGAGTAGTAATGTGAAGGTTGCAGAGAGCTGGGTGATTGTACCCTTTTGGGGAAGTGATAAGCAAAGGTGTTTCTCAGATCAACCATCTGTGGTTTCAATTAGGGATGCACCGAAAGTTCGGTCAGCGAAACATATCGGCCATTGCCGATAGGAAAAGTTTAGCCAATACAGGGGACTGTGTGTACTGAAGATGTGTGTGTGTGTGTGGGGGGCGGCAAAAGGCAAGAGAGGAGGAGTGTATACAGTGACTGGCTGTCACTATATGTTAGTGCCAGTTCTTAAATGTAATTACCGGCTTTTTTTTTCTTCAATATAGCTCAGAGAATCAGCTGTCATTTATCCCAGCTAAAAGAAACAAAGTTTCCTTTTAGTTTCTTTTAGCTCCAGGGAAAGTGACAGCTAATTTTGTTAACTATAGTGAAGAAAAAAAAAGCAGGCAATTGCATTTTAAAATCGGCACCGACATATAGTGACAGACAGCAAAGGGAGCCTCTCTGTATACACTGCTCCCTCTCTGTATACACTGCTCCCTCACTGTATACACTGCCCCTCTCCTGCACCCTCCACTGCTCCTCTCCCCACCCTATCCCCCCTACAAAGAGGACCTGTCACTCATATGCTATCACATAGGGGACTGTTGGTCCCCTATGTGATAGCAATAAAATCATAAGTTAAAAATAAATAAAAATATACATGAAACTAGAAAAAAATAGAAAAAAAAATTGAAACTTCCCCACCCCCACATACACACACATTTTGGTTCAGTTTTTGGCCACATGCATTCTGAATTTTTGGTATCGGTTTTGCACCAGAATTTTCATTTTGGTGCACCACTAGTTTCAATTATTAGTGCACACTAAATAATACATCTAGAATGTGATTGCTGTAAGCAGTACCCCCCCCCCTCCTGTTTTTCCATTTGTTAGGCCCCTAAGAGCTCTGTGGCCCTCCATCCTACATTCTTTTCTCCAAGCCATAAACTCAGTCCTACCACAATGGTGGCCACAGACAAAGCCATATTTGCAAGCTGCGTGACAGGGCTTGTGTCTGGGCTGTATAGGACATAGTGGTGCAGCGGTAACTTGCTCCTGTGGATTTACACTCACCCTTTGCTCTGGTGACAACTCTAAAATATTAGATTTCCCCTTTTAAAATACAGCAAATACAGCCTGGATGCGTACAGAAATACTGACATGAATCTGTTGAAAGCCAGGTTCATTCTGGCCATAGAATATTATAGGAAACTAAACCTAAAGATTTTTCTTATCTCAAGAGTTTCTGTTTAATAAGTAAAAATGTACTTAATTGTGCAATGTCTGTATTTCAGTCATTACCCAGGCCTCCTCGGCATGTCAGCTTTTCCAGATGATGATGACGAAATCGTGCGCATCAACCCAAGGGAAAGAAACTGGCTCACTGGTTACGAGGACTATCGCCAGGCACCAATTCATCGCAAATATCCAGAAACTGATAACACAGACTCTTATGTGCGATTTGCCAAAAGTGAAACCTCAAAGCATGATTACAACTATCCATACGTAGATCACACGAACTTTGGCATGTGCAAGGACCTCAAGGGTCCGGTGATAAACACACAGCCCAGCCGTTGCAAATCAAGAAGGAAAGATGGCGAGAGGTCTAGATGCGTGTATTGCAGGGACATGTTCAACCATGATGAGAATGGTCGGGGTCAGTGCCAGGATGCCCCGGATTCAGTCCGAACCTGCATACGACGGATCAGCTGCATGGGGTTTGCAGACTGTGTTCTTTACCACTGCATGTCTGATTCAGAAGGAGACTATACAGACGCTTGTTCTTGTGACACCAGCGATGAAAAGTTTTGCCTCCGGTGGATGCTGCTCATCCCTTTGTCAATCATTGCTCCTGGCATGTGCTGTTACATCCCACTACGAGCTTGCTACAACTGTGGTGTCATGTGTGGATGCTGTGGGGGCAAACACAAAGCAGTGGGGTGACTGCGCGCAAGTCTGTGACTTCGTTTTGCAATTCTTTCAACAGTTTGCTGGGAATTGTTTGTGGACAAAACACTCCCAACAGGTCAGCCGGCATGTTCCCAAATTTAAAAAGCCGGCCACAATAGCCTCAGAATAGGCTCCTAGCAAACTCCTCTTATACTTAGAAGGCTGAAATACTAAACTAATAGCAAGATGGCTTTGAAAAGGAATGAGGGATGGAATGTGGAGATGCTGATCTGTCAAACTGTTTTGGCAGTCTAATGTCACCTGTAAATAAGTTGTTTTTTGTTTTTGCACTTCCAGTAGTGTGATATTCAGACTCCATCTTTGAAAGGATGTGAGTCTGCAGGGCCCTGGAAGAAAAAGGGTTCATGTAGATCTAATGAGTATTTTAACCTGCAATCAGGTATTCTGTGCTTATCTTCTATAACATGGGTAACAAGAGTACCATCATGCAGTATTGCTATTTCTCTATTATGCCAAAACCAGCTTATTTATGTGTATGTAGTATTTGATGTCCATTACCATTTCTTTATTTCTCCCCTCTTTCTTTGCGTGTGTTCTACACCCTCGCTCTTTTATTGTCTGTTTCTGTTCTGTTGACTAAATTGACTTCCAAACTTTTCTTAATTTATACTGGATTCATTATGATGTTCTAGCAGTCAGTACACTCCTTGGTTGTGTAATGGCCTTTGCACAAAACCTTTATTTATAGTGGCTGTCATTTTGGTGGGGTTGGGTATCCATACCAAATGGCACTAGTTCCCTTTACATATTGCAGTAATATAAAGTTTAGATTCAGTTGTACTTCCGTATTCCCTATAATTACAGGAACTTTGGAGAGATGGTCTTTCTTCCTTACTGATAATCTTTGTTTTTTTGGAAAAGGGAATTTAATATTCACTAAGTGTTCTAGATTAAGTAACCTAAATTTCATTTCCAGCATAACCAAGCATTTTCCCCCTTCCGTGCTTCATGAATTCTTTTATTTGATAAACACTAATGAGCTTTTTCAGTAAGACAAAAAGATTTGTACAATAACCCATAGCAACCTATCAGAATTTATCTTTGGCTGATATGATTTTAGTAAATTGAAAGTCAATTTCTTCAAGTGGGTTACTGCCTATTTCCATAGCATCTTGCTCTTCTTAACTGAATTTGCCTGCAAAGTTGGAAACAGAAAGCTTCTGCAAAGTTATAGAGTTTTGAAAAGTTTTGTTGTACTGCAGCAGTTGTGTTTAATAATTATCAAATATATTTCGAAAAAAAAAAAATACTATTGTTCTTATGTTAAAGAAGACTTTGATGATGTAGGGAAAAAAAAGAACAGTGATATTACTGCAATGGTTTTCTGACGCTTGTAGTTATTTGGTAAACGTGCAAAAATTACTTGATTTGCGTGTAAGGTAAAATATTCAGAATTTGGCTTCCCTATAGATAAGAAATAAGAAATTTTGGTTACAATATTTATTTATTTTTATTTTTTTTTTTTACTTTTTTCTCCATTTGTAGAGAGGCCTTGATTAAAGAGAAAAAAATCATCTGGTCCTCATTAACGTAAGCCCCTCATTAAAGTAAGTTATCTGCTACCACAGTGTCTGGTGACCCTTTATCTTTCCCTTTAGAATTCTGCTGCTTCTAGTTACCAAACTCTGGCACACCCTTTAGCTGCTGAAGTGCTTTGGCGTAGGTAAAAATCATGGAACATCCTATGCTGTGGCCAAATAAACATGAAAGCCATAGGCCAGGCTATGGACAGCCATTTGCCACTGTCACAAACTCTGCAGTGTCTAGAGTACCCCCTGTAATACTAAATATTTTCACATTAATACCCACTGGCTACAGATGTCCTTTCTATTCATCAGTATCCAGTGCTCTGCCCCAGAGAGCATTTACCATTTTAGGATGTTCTGTACAAAATGGCCATTGAAGCCCTAGGGAAAAAAATGTAATGCCTCAAGTGCCTGCCACCGACAGCCATCATTGGAGTGAGCGTATGATGCTCCTGATTTTTAATTACCACCCACAGTAAATTTGGAAGCACTAATGCTACTGGTTCTGCATTTTGAGAAGCAATGATCTAAGATTAGAATATTTCAGTTTTGACTGAATTATATTTTATATATGCTGATCATAATGTGCCATCATACTACAACAACCGAGCGTAAAAAGCTGGGGGACAGCTGATCAGAAGAGATTCTCTTTAAGTACACTTGCACAGGACAGTGATCATTTGTGTTAGTGATCTTAAATCAGTAGCTTTTGCTAAAGCATTTTTTATTTTTTTATTGGTACTGTAAAAAATGAAGGTACCTGTAGATCTAAGATGGCCATCACAAGATTCAATTTTTTTTTTTTGTTAAATATGGCAACGATTTTCATAGGTGACCTACAGACACATGCTGGTGGACAATCCTCAGGGGAATTTATGATCAAATACCTTGAAAAAAAAAAAAGAAAAAAAAAAAAGGTTGGCTATTATTCTACCAGAGATTAGTCAACACTTGGGGGGAGGCAGTGTCTATAAGCACGTTCCCCCCTTTTGTAAGCAAAACATTAATGCTCAGCGAAGCCTTGTGTTGGCCTGAAAGACATCCACTAAATATCTGATTTCCATGCATTGAGGTTATTTTGGATATATACTCATAACAAGGCCAAAATGTAAAAATACCCCTGTGCATTCCAATGCAGGACATTCATGTGCATTGTATTAAGGCAGTCTGTTCATTTGAATGGGTTGTCACTGCACCACAATGGAACTAAAATATCTCCCCTCCACCATGTTTGCCAATGCAGTGAACCGCAAAGCATTGTGGTGCATTGCAATGCTGATGTATTATTTTAGTTCATTGTGTTGCAATTTAATATGAAAGGCACCACAAAGTGGTCTTGGCATTACAATAACGCAGTGCATGGGTTCGAAGCTACTGGCTTAATGTTTATGTGAGAAATATTTCCTTTTGTTATCTGTTGCGATTTAAAGCCATAAAGCTGAACTGTAGGCATAGAAAATACCAACTAATGTAACTATTTATTATTAAATAAGAAATTTATTTTTTAAAGCAGCTGTTGCATGTACAAGAAACCGGTATCAACCTTCTTGAATCAACTGCACAATTGAAGTGGGGGAGGAAGGGCCACTGCTAGTTGGCAGTCAGGCTGTGAAGTAGTGGGCTCGTGCGATCATTAAGGGAAGAGAGCAAAGTGAGCAGAGAGATGACTTCATCCATCTACTGATACCTCATTGTCCACTCATCAAGCTGGAGGTGCATCAGAGTCCTGCTTTATTGCTGTAGCTGCTTAGATTCCAGAAGTAGCTGCAGATAATTACAGGTGTTTGCTTAGAGTTCAGTTTTAACTAAGAATTTGTTAAAGTAAATAAAATAAAGGTATGAGGTCCTGAGGCACAAATATTTAACTGGATAAGAAATCCATTCCTGCTTATTGGCTTATTGTTCCATTATAACTGAGAAAAATAACTATAGTTAGCTGATGGTACACTTTCAAAAAACCCTGAAAGTATTCAGAAATACTTTTGCAGCCTTATACAGTGAGGCCAAAAACAAAGTGCAGGTGTGATAATCCCCAAGCTATTCGCTTTTCCTTTTTATGTTTTCTGAACCCTTTAAACTGAAATCTAGTTGGATCAGACCCTGCGACTTGTACACCATCTTTTAGTCTTTTGGTTGTTCTTATGGGTACTGTAGGCCTCTTCTGTATACTCTAAGGTGTGTTCAACCTTTGAAGAGTGAGACTCACTTAAGTGATTTGGTAACCGCTCACAGGCCACAATGAAAATAAATGATTCCACATTGAACTTTTTAAAATTTTGAATATCATAATGAACATTTTCCTTCTGCAGCCGAGGGCCACAGGTTGAGCACCCCTGCTCTAAGATGAGTTGCATCCCTATAAGACAAATATTCATGGAGATGTCAAAGTAGACACGGTTGTGGTAAATTGTGTTTTCTTGCTCCAGTCCATATTTACTATCTAATAGCTACATGGCTAGATGTGTCACACTCTCACTTGTTTGACAGAAGTAGCTGGGCGTTAACTTGTGTTTGATCAGTGTAACCAACAGTGGTATTGGATATCCTATTAATCCTGAATGCGAATTGACTGACATCTGTTCTGACCCTTAATTGCTATTGTTTCCACAGGTTTGGAAATATCCTAAGCACTTGTGTCCCTGCCAAGCCCTTTAAACTACCCATGTAACTAAAATTACTTATTCAGCCATATTGGCCTAACCTGAATCATCCTGGTTAGCACTTGAATTACTATACAAACTGAAGCCAGTGCACCTAAAAATTACTAGTGCCTACCTTTTTTTTGCCTTTTCCACAGATAACAGAAGCATGTTTCACAGCTTCTTAAAAAAAAAAAAATGGGGACCCGTGACTGGTCCAGTTGTCTCCTGAATATGATAACTGGTCTACCTGTGCACATTATCGGGTAGCTGGGCTTGCTCCCATTACTTTTGACATCTGATAGATTATTCATGGTTCTCAAACATTGGTACCCCAAAGGTTAGTTATGATGGGTTTAGAAGATACTTCTGCTTATTACAATAAATTCATTGTAACTCTTTATCAAATAAGTTGTAGTTATTGAAAAGTTGCTTAGCAAGCAGTAATGCACAATTACTGGGTACTGGCAATAAATGTTCTCCAGTCCTGGGGTACTTTGGGTATTCGATGGTTCTCACGCCTTTTGTAAAGGAGTGTATGTACAAATGTTTTAAAATTCAGTGGTAGATTGCATTCAAAAAAGTAAAAAAAAAAAAAGGAACTGAAGTTTTTTGACTTCTTTGAAAAAACCTATCCTAAATAATTCCACTTTTGCCATAGCTAGGAGAGTTTGTTGACTCAAGAATCAAGAGTACAATTTTTACTGTTCCTGAAAAAATCCCTTTAAGATTAGAGAAAATATTGGGACAACTGAATCCCTTACCTTCTTTTTCTTAAGATTTATTATAGTAATTGTTCTCTTCAACA